GTCCGTAGTTTTTCATTTGTTTTTAAAATTACTATGTGAAATAGTCAATTTTCGAGTGTGGCAGGTATTGTCCTGCGCGCTCTATTTTTCATATTAAGAATAACTCAGTTCCCACAGTAAAAAAATAATTTTATATTCTTTCCGTGTAGTTGGAGACATTGAAGGTTCTGAGTGGACTTGAGTAGCCGCCAAAATTCTACGTGAATTTAAAGAAAAATCCTCCATTTTGCCCCAAGGTAAATGTGCCTCTGCTCGGCCTTGCCCCGATGGCCGTTCATCTGTCGTCAATTATCACATTTTAATTATTCTGACAGTTCTGGGAATCTTTTGAGAGCGAAATATGATGGGAGTAATTATTTTAGTGGATAAGGAGAGATATCGGCACCAGAAAACAGTGATTCATTGGAAAGTGAAAGAGAAAATTCTTATTCACATCAACTGGTGGCATGACGGAGTGAATTCTCAAGTCGCAATTGAAGGAATTGACAGATTTTAATATTGTTTCCCCGCTGTAATAGTAGAGTGGGATTAAAACTTCCTTGAATGAGGTTCTGGATAGTTGAGAAATCAATAAAAATTAGAAAATTATAGCATTGAATTGATATTTCATTGAAATCTTTCCATATTATAACAATCCAAATCGACTTCAGGTGATGAAAATTTGGTACTCGAAATTAAGACTCCAAAATTAAGGATCAGAAACTGAAGGTTACAAGGGTTAAAATAAGGGTCACGAGGGTTATAATGAGGGTCAATGAAGGCTATAGCCCACCAAAGAACTACCATTTTTTAATAGTATATTTCAGCACGTGTGGGGCAATTTCGTTTTTAACGTGTGTGGGGTTTACAGCATGAGCCGAAGGCGAGTGATGTAACCACACACGTTAAGGATGAAATTTCCCCACAAGTACTGAACAAAATTTTATGTCACGAAGCCTGAAACCGGCTGAATTAGACACGAGACGCGAAGCGTCGAGTATTTATAGTATTTATTAAGTATTTATGCCACTCATGCCTGAAAACGGCTGGATTACACACTCGACGCTTCGCGTCTCGTGTCTAATCCAGCCGGTTTCAGGCTTCGTGACATAAAATTTTGTTCAGTACTTGTGGGGAAATTTCATCCTTAACGTGTGTGGTTACATCACTCGCCTTCGGCTCATGCTGTAAACCCCACACACGTTAAA